TTGATAGACAACATAGAAGAGTAATTACTGTTGTAAAACTAAATAGAACTAATATTTTTAGGTCTGTATCTGCCGGAATTCTGAATATACAATAACAGATTTTTTTATGTAACATTCATTAAGTACTTTTTAATTCTTACTTCCTCGAAAAATTATGTACATAGTTAATTTACATTCTTTTGAAATAATAATTTCAAGTTTGGTAAAAGAAGAATTTACATAACTTAAATTACAATAGTGTAATAAATCATGTTTGTAAAAATAATTTTAAGCTCATATAGATGTCCAAGGCTGCAATATGTTAAAATGTGTTAGTAGTTCACAGTACGTGATTACTCGTATCGTTGAAAAATTGAATTTATGAGAAAATGCTATTATGTTTAAGTTTGTAATTTACTTCTGTTTAGTAAATTTTCAGAACTTTTATTTTGTCTTGCAGAACCTGTGGCTATGTCTATGGTGATTGGCATTGCAGTAGGTTGTATCATTCTTCTGGTAGTCTTAATTATTGTTGTCGTATGCTTCATCAAGAAACGTAAATCTGTTTTCAGAAGTAAGTCCAACAATAATCTTTTCACCCATAAACTGCTTTTATTGTTTCTTAAAATGAATTAGAAACAAAATATTTGGATCTTAAATAATGAAAGATTGAAACAAATATCCTGGGAACATTTTCTTAACTTCAGTGGATACGCATATTATTATTCATCAACTGAGATTAACTTTAACTAACATTAACTTCAGATTTGAAGCTGAGAAAAAAAGGATGCTCTCATCCTTAACATAGAATTTAAAATTATAAACAAAACTGTGTGTGTGTGTATACTTAAACTAATGATATTACTAACCAAACATGTAAAAGTATATAAACAAGAATTTGTGTGTGTATGTTTTTAAACCAATGGCATCACTAACCAATCGTGTATGATAAGGTATCTGATAGACCTTGTAAATTTGTTATTAAGCCTTTTGCTTAGGACTTGTGTAATTTGTGTCACAAATTTCACTTGTGCAGCAATACGTATGGTAACTCTCAAAAACTGTTAAAGATTATAAGTATCTTGTACATAAAGAATGACATTATTTTAGTTTGACTAAAAATATGTTATTTATTTATTGTAGTTATTTACACTCACACTCTTAACAACTCGAGTGCAAGATGATTTTCATTTTAAGTCATCATGATGACAAAACCTTGTCGAAACGTTGTACATTTGCTGTTATGTTAAACTTATATTAAAGTTTTTCTTCATTACCCATTCAAGTCGTCTTCAACCATTATTAGTCTTAAAGTGGGTTCCTCGTCATCGAAGATAGATATATTATCATATTTTGGATGTTTTGGCTACTTCTGAATACCTTTGTACTTGATATATATATTTATGTAACTTCCTTGAATTGTTGAAACATTTTAATAATAAATGATGATTTTCTTCTTCTTATTTTCTGTATGATCACAGGAAGAGATGATTTTAACCCAGATACAGAAAGGTAATTTTCTTTTCTTCAACATTAATGTACAAAAGAAAAACATATTCATAAATCAAAACTATTTGATTTATTTGTCTTTCATTGATTTGTTTGAATAATAAAAACAAAAACAATACCTTTAAAATAGATGTAATTCTAGTAATTTATTATTTTTCAATACATACACTTTAAGTGACATAGCCGTCAACAAACTCTCACAATTAGGCTATTTCACTTTGCTAAGTGACGATAAAATGTTAAGTTTTGAGTAAATTTACTAATGTATATTATTCAGCAATAAACCAAATAATAACAACAAGAAAACAGTAATGGCTTATTGAAAAGAAATATTTCAGTGAAATGGGCAGCAGGAGGTCTGTTGATATAACACACAATGGAGTAGCAGGAGCTATCCCACCAGATGCACTTTACAGTGCACCAAAGAAGCAGCCAAATAAAAAGGTTGAAAACAGAGGGGAGAGAAAACAGTATGAAAACCTGAAAGTAAATATTATCTTTGCTGTTTCTATATTTAATAATTTTTTATACAGTAATATTTGTGCTGTATGGATTATTTTAATTGTGTCGAGAGAAGAAAATTTAAATTATCTGAAGACAAATGTCAATTCCAGGAATATTTACACACTCCTAAGTAAAAAAATAACACACTTGAAGCATGTCACAAGGGAGGGTTAAAAGCTTTCAATCAATAGTTTTGTATTGGGGGACATATCTTCTTTTTTTATATATATTTCATGGCTATGTGTATATGTTTAAATTTATAATTGAATAAATGCTTATTGCAAAAAAAATTATCTTCCTGGGTAACACATTTTGTAACAGATGCAAGTTTTATTGTAATATTAGTGCATTATTTTACACATGGTATGAGTAATATTACGTGTAAGTTTGATTGTAATATTAGTGCATTATTTTACACATGGTATGAGTAGTATTACGTGTAAGTTTGATTGTAATATTAGTGCATTATTTTACCATGGTATGAGTAATATTACGTGTAAGTTTGATTGTAATATTAGTGCATTATTTTATACATGGTATGTGTAACATTACATGCAAGTTTGATTATAATATTAGTGCATTATTTTACACATGGTATGAGTAATATTACGTGTAAGTTTGATTGTAATATTAGTGCTTTATTTTACACATTTGTTATTTTTACTTCTGTTTCTGTCCAAATCTAACTTTAGATTTAAGCCTTAATGCATATAAATATTTCATTGATACCGCAGATGGACAAAAATGACAACCGGAATAAAGACCACGTGGTATGTGCTGACCTGTCTTTCTCTCCTCCCTCTGAGAGAAATGGGCACTCACGCAATAGAGGTGCTAGGCCTACAGTGGAAAGGACAGAATATGGAGAAATACAGTTCCCATCTAAAGTAATAGAACAAGCTGATATCTAGAATTAGCCTAATCGTAATAAGTAACTGTGCTTCAACACATTGTTATCATTTTTATCTCAATGAACATAACAGTTGGTGTGAAATGTAGTTTCATCCTCAACATTGTACGAAACAAATCATACCATGTGAAGTTTTCATAGACACACTAGTTCCTTTGCTACGAATGCCGAATCCATTCTCACAAATCATCAAATTTTTGTCTGGAACATCTACGGAAGTACGAAATGCATAATTCATAAAGGCATCTTACTTTAAAATACTGTGATAGTTCATGTACATAAATGGTGTTCTTTGTGTTGTATCGTAATCATGAAAAAGAGATATTGTATTACTTAATCATACTTTTTGTGTACTCCATTTCCATATGCAAAATATTTTTAAATTCTAAATCTTTAGTTGTAATATGCACCATATCTACAGCTATATGTGTGAATGTTTTATTTGTTGTTTATGCATATCAATGTTAAATTTATCAATTTTCTAGTTTTATTGAGGAGTAAGGTGTTCCAGCAATAAATAACATTATTGGTGGATTGAAAACAAGCTTGCTTTTCTCTGTAGATTTATGAGGTATGTAAAAAAAAAGGTCAAAATTTTGTTAATTTTGTGATGAATGTAATAATTTAGACCAACCATTTCAACTAAAGTAACTTAAGTAAATGAATCTTAAGATAAACCTCTCAGAATTCAACAGATTCCATCTTCATTATCCAAAGTAAAATAAAAGAATTACATCATTCCATTTCTGTTCGTGATACAAAAGAAATATATTAGTTAACATTGGACACAGCAGGAAACCTATTGCTATGCCATCTATTTGTTCAAATAGGGTGTTGTTAAATATGAAATGTGACACCTGCCCCGCTGACTTCAGACCTATCCTTTACAGAAGGTATGTACTCTTTTATTATTTTTCACAATAAGGTTCACTGCTCTAAATTCTTAGAATACCTGAACTCACAACATCCTGCCATTAAGTTTACTTGAGAGGTTGAAAGTAATAATAATTTACCTTTCTTAGACATTTCATTAACCGTAACACTAGTGGATTTGGCACATCAATGTACAGAAAAAAAGATGTTTACTGGACTCCTAACGTAATTTGACAGCTTTATTCCCTTCACATACAAAAAAAATCTGGTAAAATGCTTATTAAACAGAGTTTATAACTTGTGTTCTACGTACTTTCGCTTATACAGAATACTTTAAAATGTAACGGCTACCCACAAAATCTATTATAAAAAATTACTAATACTTTTCTAATTAAGAAATTCAAACTTACTATATACTTTTGTCTTCCATTCAGTGGTAAACAAAACTTAACTTTAAAAAGTCAAATTAAATGCGTAACTCACAGTTACTACCCCCAAATTGATTTCAGATTAGTTTTTAAACCCACATCACACATACAGGATTTTTTCCATACTAAAGACTTTTCTCCCAATTTCTCTTTGTTCTTGGCTTGTATATCTTTACACATGTGGAGACTGTATGGCCTCCTATATTGGCAAAACTAAATACCATCTACTAGTCGGATCCAATGAACGTATGGGAATTTCCATGAAAATACACAAAAAAGTTGAGTAACCCCTGTGTTTCCTCTATACGCCAACATAGTGAAGAAACAGGACACGAACTTAACTTATCAAACTTCAATATCCTTTGTAAGGCCAACACTGATCTAGAATTACTGATTAAAGAAACCCTCCACATGAAACAACTTTCACCAACACTGATCTGGAATTACTGATTAAAGAAACCCTCACATCAAACAACTTTCACCAACACTGATCTGGAATTACTGATTAAAGAAACCCCCCACATCAAACAACTTCCACCAACACTGATCTAGAATTACCGATTAAAGAAACTTCCACATCAAACAACTTTCACCAACACTGATCTAGAATTCCGATTAAAGAAACCCTCCACATCAAACAACTTTCACCAACACTGATCTAGAATTACTTATTAAGAAACTCTCCACATCAAACAACTTTCACCAACACTGATCTAGAATTACTTATTAAAGAAACTCTCCACATCAAACAACTTTCACCAACACTGATCTAGAATTACTTATTAAAGAAACTCTCCACATCAAACAACTTTCACCAACACTGATCTGGAATTACTGAATAAAGAAACTCACCACATCAAGCAACTTTCACCAACACTGATCTGGAATTACTGATTAAATAAACCCTCCACATCAAACAACTTTCACCAACACTGATCTAGAATTACTGATTAAAGAAACCCTCCACATCAAACAACTTTCACCAACACTGATCTAGAATTACTGATTAAAGAAACCCTCCACATCAAACAACTTTCACCAACACTGATCTAGAATTACTGATTAAAGAAACCCTCCACATCAAACAACTTTCACCAACACTGATCTAGAATTACTGATTAAAGAAACCCTCCACATTAAACAACTTTCACCAACACTGATCTAGAATTACTGATTAAAGAAACCCTCCACATCAAACAACTTTCACCAACACTGATCTGTAATTACTGATTAAAGAAACTCTCCACATCAAACAACTTTCACCAACACTGAACAACATGCAGTCTTCTTTTAAGTTGCACATTTTCTAACATGTACAGTACTTTGTTTGTAACTCATTTAATTTTTATGTTGTTTTAGTTTTGATTAAATTACTTTTATGATAGCAATGTGTTTCAGTTACTTAATTAGGAATGATGTAATTCTTTTATTTTGCTTTAGATACTGAAGATGTTATCTGTTGAATTCTGAAAGGTTTATCTGTGTTATAAATAAACAATGTTGTTTATCTGAAGTATAGTTATATTGATAAACAAACTTTGTATAAAGATGCATGTTAGTGATTTGAGTGTTGCTGTTTGTTCCCCTTTTCTTAGTCGGTCAGTTTGAATTCAAATAGTTCACTTGAAAGAAATGTAGAACACATCAAATGGTAGTTCACGTGTGGTTCACACTTGAAAGAAATGTAGAACACATCAAACGGTAGTTCACGTGTGGTTCACACTTGAAAGAAATGTAGAACACACCAAACGATAGTTCACGTGTGGTTCACACTTGAAAGAAATGTAGAACACATCAAACACAAAACCTTGATCCAACTTGATCTGAACCATACTGCATCTGTTGTTTGTTTCTTTTTAAAAACTTGAGAAATAAAAATAAACTGATGACTAAACTATTGTTCTATTAAAGGTATAGGCACTTGAGGTTATGATTTCAATTTGTTTAAATACACTAGACAAAGCAATAATTACAGAGTAATTTTCAGAACTAGGTATCGATATGTACGTTAATGTTTTCTGTTGTATGACTAACTAGGTATACATATGTACGTTAATGTTTTCTGTTGTATGACTAACTAGGTATACATATGTACGTTAATGTTTTCTGTTGTATGACTAACTAGGTAT